CCCAGTCCAGAACATTATTCCTCGTTTGTGGAAAAACGGTGGTAATACACGGTTCCCAGCACTCTCCCAAGTCTTTTTTCATACATATGGGTAGATTTTCTGTGCTCTCACACTGATGCCAACACTACAGTACCTTGTAGCATAGCCTTTCAAAGCCGATGTTGCTTGCACAGCACCGTGTCACTCCTTGGAAGGGGTTTCACAGTGCATTTCTATTCAATTGGAAATAGCGTTGCCAGAAGCATTGTTGTGCACCGAGTAAGAAAACCTAACAGTTCGTAAGCTGCAAAAGAACTTGCTCACCGCACGTAATATTTATCAGTCGTATCTCATGGAAACCTTGCTTGCTTGGAATGATGCGTGGAAAACGTTGCAGCCTGTTCGCTTGTGCCGAGTGATGAAACCTAACCGAGTTGTAGATTGCAAACACTGTCAGCGAGGTCTTGTCAATCGTGTCTCAACTTTCTGTGCCTTGACATTCCAATTTGAGAACACTTACTGATCTACTGTAACGTTGCATTTCGACTTGTAAATGTTTCCTCCTGTAAACCCGATGCACTGGAAAGCTCAGACCTTCATAAAAGATCCTGCAGCATGACCTTTCTGCTAAGGTCGCAGGAATATGCATAAATTAGCATAGATGGTCTCGGGAATATGCGAAATGTGTTTCTAACAAAACATCGCGCCATTCCTTAAGAAAATCAAACACTTCCCGGAAACCTAGGACCATTTACTCTCCTAGTCCTTGCTTGGCTTCAATGCATTCTTTCTGATACAACTAAACTCTCGAAACTCTGATGAAGTACTGATGAAATAGATTACTCTCGTAAGGTTCATTGTGCAACCGGACAATGATGGCCCCNNGCCCCCCCCCCCCCCCCCCCAGGCTTATGCAGCACAACCCTGGTTTTCAAACCCCAAGCTTCTCGAAGCTTCAAGCATTCAGTTTGCCAATAGGACGGGTAGGGCCCGAAACCGTGGCTTGGTACCCAAACCATCCTTCGTTTCACCAATTCACCATTTCACCGCTTCACCATTACGTATAAGCATTTTCTAATCAAAACAGAGCTATATCTATATTCGTAAGTATAAACCTAAATGCAAACTGTGAAACACATGTAGATATGAATATACATGAGGCCGAATGCATCTTCGGCATCCTTGTAACAATCCTAAGCTCCCAAACAGCCCCTTCGAACCATGATCTGTCCGTAAGCACTGTACCAGATCGTGCGGCTCCTTTCCCTGAGTCAAGACAGCTAGCTAGCTAGATCTGTACTTTTTTTGTGTTGTAAATGTGTGAAAGTGTAACCTATTCAGATGACCCAAGAGTCCTTGGCCAATTCATGGCCGCAGCGAGTGTGAGAGAGGCTATCGTTGTCCATCGTTAGCAGATGTTGGGGTTTCACAACAACTGGCTCGTGAAGAAGCGCATATCAAATCCGGTTCAACCGGTTCGTCCGATCTGTACGACGGCTAAACTTAACGATTTGCCTTTATTCATTTGCTTTACTTATTTCTACCATTAGTTCGATACCAGTGTTCAGTTTTTCAGGACATTCCTAGCAAACAAGCCAAGTGAAAGAACACTTTGGGGACGCTGAAGCTTTTAGAGTACTCTGTTGTTTACATATAGTTTGAGAGGCCGTTTTCTCAGTTGTTCGACTTGCACAAATTGAATGAGGACGTGTTGTGTATCGATGGAACAACCCTTCCACAATTTTTCCCTCGCCTGCGAACTACTGTCTTCACATCGATAAAGCATAGCTGTCTGTCTATTTAGCTAACAAGACTGGCAGGGTTGTAGTTTTCAAGGAAATGCCAGGGTTGATTAGCCGTACCATGCGAATTTGCCAAGTCAATGATGTGAGCAAATCAGCAGCTTGTACAACGAATCCATTTTATCAGTCAAACAAACTGGGACGGTGTAAGCAATGATGTGGGTGTTCAGCCGACCATGCTTCAAGATAGCATCCTTTGCTGTTTGGCATTCTTGCAGGCCTCGTACTGGAAAGATGTAATTGAGATACATAGTAATTGAAATGCTGACATGCTGAATTATTGATTGTATTTCACAATCCTTGCTCCCCCTATCCGAGTAGACAGGCAGGTAGGGAGGCAGGAAGGCAGTGAACATGGTCTCTCCTCCCATCCCTTCCGTGTCGCCGTTTGACGAATCCGCATACGCACCGCTCTCTTTTCATCTCATACATAGGTCTTCGTTGGTTTTGGCTTGAAATACGCGATGTATCTAGGCAGCATGTATATGTATGTGGCATAGTATAGTATAAATATGAATCTTGAAGGGGATCTACATGCATCTAGCGGTTCCCCATCGAATCTCATGTTCAACACGATGTTGTTCAAAGCTGCACCGCTTGTGTACCCTCAAGCTCAAGCCATCCAAGCCTTAAGCCCTCGACCCCAAGCCCCTTTGCTTCAGGACATAGCCGTGGCTTCGTTGCTGCCGGCCTGCAGAAAGGGCCAATTTCTCGTAAGGTTGTTCCGCTACAGGGCATAAGACTTGAGGGTTTACGACTTAGTGCTGAGGGTTTTGTTAATGTGTGGGGTTTGCCGGTTTAAATCGGAATTTACGATGACACAGCTCGCAGAAAGGTTCAGAGGCTAGAGGCACCCCATATTTTCACCGAGCATGCGACTGAGGCGCTGGGGGCCGATCCCGGCTGCCGCACATGGCTAGCGCCCTTTTCGCTGGACTCGCAGTCTGCTTTAATTCGATCAAGCTTGCGCGGTCGATCCTTGACTCCCTCGTGAGCATGAGTTGAGCCCTTACTTCTAGGCCGAAATCAACCTTAAACGATGGCCCTAATAAGGCCCTAATTGGCTGCAGGACAATGGCCTAGCTGCGCAAGAGAAGCACACGCCAGAGCCCCAACCGCTCCTTGCTCAAGGCTGCACATGTGCAGACTGCGAGGGTCCTACGCAGCAACACGATGGCCACGTAATGGAGTCTGCATGCAACGTAATTACTCCTGTACAGTTTTCTATGTATCCCGTTACATTGCATATCTTTTTCATGCCCTCATTGACTGCTCATTCTGTTCATTTCCCACGAGAAGGTTTACGGGCTTTTGTTTCTATCCGCTGATTTCGAAGGCTCGCTGTCTTCTCCGATAATGCTGTTGGCATGCTTTTCTTGTCACTACCTCCCGTGGCTGATCTGGTGTCCTTTGGCTTCCCCCCAGAACCTGTCATGATAGGCTTTCTGATCTTTTGGTGAACCGGATCAGATAGGCATGTGGTGTCCATCATCTTTCCTTTCTTTTCTGATGCTGTAAGCAGCATGCAGACTTGGCAAGGCAACTGCTCTCCGAAGTCGTTTCTGTGCCGGGCTGAGATGCTGCCAGAGGAGACTTGACCTTAGCAGAAGTCCACGGGAGAGACCTTGCCAGGCTGCAGGTCTTGATGGTGGCCAGGCCATCCTTCGTCTCAGCTGCTGGTTGTTATAAGCCAATGCAGTTCCTGGTATTAGGTGCGCCTGTACCTGTCCTACGTGCCCTCATTGGCGAGCCTGGCAACGCTCTACCAACTGCACAGCCAGAAAGGCCCGCATTTAGGGAGCAGGCTGATGGGAGCAGCTAAATAAACCACAAGTAAGAGCGGTTTGCAATGACATGACTGCCAAGATTTAAAATCATGGCAGGAAGGCTCGTGGCAGCAATCGGAATATGTCGGAATGTTGTCAGCATGGCGGGTGCAAGTGGTGCGCAAAGAATTCCCCCGCTTTCGAAGGCGTGCAGCTGCAGGTGGCTTTCAATACCTGGCGAGAGACGCGGATGTGGACTACTGAGGCGCCTGAAGGTACCTGAAGGCACCCTGTTCTGAAGTGTTCGCGTCAAGAGGATCATGCTCCAACCCGTTGCTTGGGGTCGGACTGGGCTGGCGGCTAAACATCAACAACCGTCAAGCAATAGGTAATCAGCATGGATCGGGCCAACGATCAGCCCGATCCGGTTTCGTCCCTTAACAAGGGCCATTTGGCCACGTTCCAAAAGACCAGCGCAAGTGTGCGAACGTGTGCGAACCCTTTAGAAGGGGTCATGCTCAACAAGCTTTGGGGCCTGCGACATCCTTGGCGAAATGCATCTGCGACTCTAGCTCTGGCTCAAGCTCCATGAGCTGCAAAATACCATGGCTCCCACCAGGGTCCGGGACCTATGTTGTCCCAAGGGCAGAGTGGGAGATGGCCTTTCTAAAGTCTCTGCCCCCCTTTGCTTTGTCTTTGCATCCAGGTAATGCGCCGAGGAGCCGGTCAGAGCTGAAGCCGGGCCCAGCTTTCTTGTCCTTCCTCTGCTCTGTGTCGCGTGCTGCGCGCCTGTGTGCGCCCGAGTCTGCTCGGTCTTCCGTTTGAGCCGGGCTTTTTTCTCTCAGAATCTTCCGAGGCCATGAAGAGTGTGCTTGATGCCGACTCATTGAAGCGAGATCTGCAAGCCAAGCTTCAGAGGCTTGTTCAGGAGGCAGGGTGTTGCACACGTTTTTCATCTTTGCAGTCCCGCATTCCGAAGCGGTGCTTTAACCCTGCTTATCGTGTGCGTTCTCTCTGCAACTGCAGTTTTTTGAAGCATGTTTCGTTTACGTCCGTTACATCTGCCCGCCAGTGTACGTGAATAATCGTGAATATAGATGCCTTCGTCTTCGCCACGCAGTCTACCGAGCCAATGTGCAGTCCTTTAGCTTTCCACCATGCCACAGTCTCAAAGGTCTGTTTCAGAGCCGATGTGATTCGCACGATCAAGAGCTGTCTTTGTAGAAGCTCGATTGCTCAATTTGTTTTTTGCAGACTTTGTCGAGAGGCACCTTTGTTCACGTGCCGCCCCTGTAGATACCTGCATCTGCACAGTACAATTCTGCTAGTGGCATCATCTCTGTCACGCCAGGTTTGCCAACCAAGACTCCAAAGTTCCTTCCTAAACTCCCAAAACTTGAAATATAGAAGCCTGAACCCCCTAAACCCTGGCCTGTAAACCTTCGGACCCTGAGAGGCTGCAAGGTCTTACTTCTTACGCCAATGTGGCCACCGTTTAGCCCGAAGCAACCTCGATCCTTCTTTAACTACAAGTAGAGCACTGTGCCCGAGCATGCTGCATCGGTTTAGGGCAAAGGCCGCTTCTTGTTGTTGCCACGTTCCCCCTTTGGCACCATCCTCCGTCATCGTCGAGTAGGAGTCAACTTCGTTTCGATGGTTCATGTCGTCACGTACGTGTCCTCCAACTCAGATACAAGTTAGAGCGCTCTATTGATGCATTTGCTCTGAAGCCATCGTATCTGCATCAGGTCACCTGAGTAATTTTTGAAGCCCATGGTCCAGGCTTTGTGTCCGGGTCGTTGCTGCAGATCTGGCCAGGAAAGAGTAGCACAACATCGTGCCAATGTGGATGACCAGCCAGCCACACTGCGTCCGCTTGAAGTGGGAGAGGCGTGTGCGATTGTGATCGGTTCTTGCAAGCTGACTCCGGTGATTCCGCTCATTCAGCAGGTGCTGCATGATGACATGCCCAATGTCTTGCCGAAGTGGATGCGCGAAGGCCCGACTAATCCGAACGAGCAGGAGTGATGGTCTGGTTCGGCTGCACTGCGTCGCATCATCACGAAGCTTGGGTGTGCGTATGCAGAAGCAGTGTTTATGAAAAAAACGTGAAAATGCCCAGTACAACATCGCGCGCTAGCAGTTCATGCAATGCAATGCCCACGCCATCATCAAGTAGACAAGCCACGCAAGCTGTAGCACTTAGCTTGCTTTTGCTTCGCGTGGTTTCCGTGTGTTGTTTCCTCAGTGTTCTTTTCCTGGTGCTGAGCACTGTTTTGCAGGCCTGCGCCCGCGTGTGGCCATGGCAGCTCCAGGTGCTTTGGAGGACAACGACAACTTTTCCCTTGGAACCAGAGGACATCCCAACAAATGCAGCCTGGCATGGTCATCTCATGGTCCCTGCTTGCCCCTATGTGCACACTTTCCCATCCCCCGTGGGGTACGAGGCAAGCCCGCCTGTCGTTTTCATCGACGGAGGGGCGGATGTCGTGAAGGCGCCCTGAAAGGTTGCCCGAACGAGTTGGCTGCAGATCGTGTGCCTTGCGACCTGAGCCGAGGTGCATCGTGCAAATTCTGCTGCTTGACGGCAAAAGGTACCACAGCGATGGCCCTGGCTGCCGTTCCTGTCGAGGCCATGAGTGCGTCTTCTCGGACTCCGACCCGAATTACCTGGGCGTGCCCCTGTGCGAGCCCCATGCACAACACAGCAAGCAAGCTGCACTGTGATTGAGAGAGGTGTCGCTTCCGACTGGCTTTCAGGCACAGTTTGGGTTCAGCGTCCTCGGTCTGTACGCCCGTGCCACCTGGCGCCATGCAGAGACCGAGCTCCGAAGGCGACTATCCTTCCATAGGCTCAATCGGACACCCTTTTTCTTGTGGGCCGGAAGCCAAGCTTAGCCACCGGGATCTGCGGCATCTGAGCTTCATCCTCTGGCGGAGTTTGAAAAGTGCCCTTCTCCGAGGCCACCTTGCAAGTACAACTCAAAGCCGAAGGGCTGCAAGGATGGGCTCCTGTGCGACCACTGCCACCTGTGCCGGTGGAAGCGCCACACCCCCGGAGCCGGACCCGCACAGGGAGGCCGGGGAAGCCTTAGGGTTTAGGGTTTAGGGTTGCATAGGCACCCTGTTAGAACCCTCACACCACCCTCTATCGACCTACCTGTCTATCTATCCGTCTATCTATCTATCCGTCTATCTATCTATCTATCTATCTATCTATCTATCTATCTATCTCTCTATCTATCTACCTGTCTATGTATCTATGTATGTAAAGGGATATGTACATACGCATACATACGCACATATATGTATATGCATATATATATATATGTGTATATATATACACACATATATACACACATCCGCCTATATCTAGCTAGCTAGCTAGCTAGCTAGCTAGCTAGCTATATATAGATATATAAACAACCCCATATAGGAGAAGCCTAAGCGGGAGGCTGTCGCAGCACGGATTTTGACAGCAGGTCGACCGAACCTGGAGAAGGAGGAGACTCTCTTTGCTTGACTTTCAAGCGGGCGATGGCAGACTCTTGGCATAAAGGCCGCAGACAATGGTACTTAGGAGCTGTAGACTCTAGACCTTAAACCCTAAACCCTAAGTTGGCATTAACTTGCCTGTAACACATCACCACTGGTTGTGTTGGCCAGAGTCTGAGCAGAAGCAACGCTCTTCCTGTGTTGAGATATCAACATAGCGAGCTTCGGACAGTGTGCATCCTAGCCTGGACACACTGATTGTTGATAGGCTGTGCTGTGAAGTTGATAATCCTGTGCTGCGACTCCTGCAAACAGCAGGAGTCAGCGTGCAGGCGATTTCAATTCTTTGGTCGCTTAGCAATGCATGTTTCCAGATCCCTTGACTGACTTGGGTGGTCAAAGCCCCGCTGTTTGGACCAACGGTCTGACGCCGTTTTGTCTCTGTTTTGGTTGCTTCGGCCCGGTGGCAGGTGACCCGGGCTGTTCTTCTTCTTCATGTGGAGCATCGTCTCAGAGTGGATGGTTGATGCAACATTTGCGCATTTTTGCAGGTTATGCAACTGTCTAGTCACTTACTACCACTCCTGCCAATCGTGTGCCATGATCGTTTTCTTTTGATCTGGTGGGTGCCTACAGCTTGGGCGCTGCATGGTGAAAAGGCACGGGCGCCACAAGCAAAGGGCAGGTGCAGCTTTTTGGAGCAACCCACTGGCGCACCGTTTCGGATCATTTCTGGATGCACCGTTTCGGATCATTTCTGGATGCTAAGCAACCGAGACTGGCCGCCTTTTGTTCCAGTGGTCAGTCCACTGAAGGTGAATCCAGGCAAGCGAAACCGGGCCAACAGTCTTCAAGACTTCTACCATCAGTCTACTGATCCTTGGAGATGGACTCGTTATTCCTCTGTGTTGGGTCGTTAAGGTCATGCTTTCCTGGTGCAACTAGCTGTCTCTTGACCGGGTGCACTGGTACAGCTCACAAAGCACCCTGGAATTCAGGGCTGCCTGCCCACCTCCAGACCTAATTTTGCAATGGTTTAAATGTAGAGAGAAGGATTGCGGACCTGGAGCGTTGACACACACCAGGTCACTGCTGATTGCCTGCCTGAAGCACAACTGTTTTCATTCCCTTGGTGCCAGTGCCCTCAATGTCGTCTTCACACCTCGATATCAGCAGCGACATCACTAAAGGATGCAGTCACTCCTCACCTTACTGACGGTGCTCCCCACCCAGTGAACTCTTAGGTGTTGCAGGCCTGGATTAACCCAAGCGAAGCAAGGACAGCACTAGATAAAAGTAAAATATTTCAAAGCACACACATCAGGCATTTTTTCCCCGACTCACTCATTGAACAGCCCTTGTCATGGCTTCGGGGACATCACAGGCCTGGCCTGCAATGAGATGCATGAGTTGTTGGAAAATTGTTTCAATGCCATCTTTGTCCAAATCTTTGTACAAGTCACATGACATGTGTAGTGCAAGTTTCTGTAGCATAGTCTAAGATATGGTGTGTGTGTATATATATATATAGATGTACGCATAACTTACAGAAACTATTCTAATATTCTAATATATATATATACACACACAGCTGTACTTGGATACTCAATGCTACACACTCACACACAGAGAGTCCCTAATACATACACATACACACACACACACACGCATATGCGCACACACACACACATCTATCTATCTA